AAACAAGCAGTGTGATGCGTTTATGGCAATCTGTGAATGTCAGCAGGTGGGAGATGAATGGCAGCGGGCCCTGATTGGGAGCATAGTAAGTAACAATGGTGACTTCAGAGTCGAAGAGCAAACCCGACAAGAGGAGATACCGACCTTCAGGGTCTCTGATCTCAGTATGAAGTGTAAAAGGGGTGGTGTGTGATGGAAGGCTATGAGGACACCTCTACACTTAGATTTAGCGGAAGCAGTGAAAACTTGTGGATAATGGGGGCCAAAAAATGTAGGGGTGGAAAAGTGTGTCTCCTGAAGGCAGACGACATGCGCCTTTTGTGTAGCAAATGAATGAAAGGCTTTATTACATTTCTGTGGGACATTAAGACCCTGTACATTCAGTGTAAGAAGATTCAGGGAACCCATCGGGGGAAGGTTAGGTCCGCTAAGGAGTGGGAAGTCCTCGTATCAGCGTACATGAAGTGGTTCCCAGAGGAGGGGAAGAGAGGGAGAGCAGGAAGAGAGGAACAGGGAAGTCACACGAGAGAGCAAAGGGAAGAGGAGAAACGGCATGTAAAACTAAACTGAAACAAAAAGGGACCGCTAGGGCCCAAACGGTGGACCCTGACTTATCCGCACAACGGAGAAACCCAAGGGCCAAGAGTAGCCCAGGCAGTACAAAAACACGGTGCTCCATGGGCTAGTGGTGGTAGCAGAAACAAGCATAGGGGGAAAGGCAACCTAAAAATAAACAGAAGTCTGTAGACTCCCACTGAAACAGCAAGAGTCCAGGCTACCGGCATGTCAGGGAAGTCCCGAAACCAGGCAGAACACCCTAAGAACATTACCCATCTGGGGACGTCAAGGTGGAAAGGTAGCGCAGGATTGTGTGTCTCTAGCTGGATCCGGGGCTCCCGTGCATGTAAACTGGTGCCGTCATAGACACTGGGGGGTTTATTTACTAAAGCTGGAGAGTCCAAAATCAGACTCCCTTCTGCATAGAAACCAATCAGCTTCTAACCTCAGCTTGTTCAATGAAGCTTTGGCAATGAAACCTGGAAGCTGATTGGTTTCTATGCAGAAGTGAGTCTCATTTTGGACTCTCCAGCTTTAGTAAAATAAACCCCTGGGTGTCATGGAAAACAAGCCAAAAAGAGATAACATTAGCACTATATTAAGCAAACATAATTAGCAACCATGCAGTCGAAACAAATTATCAAGCAAACCAGGTCAGCCGACTGAAAGGGAAAAAGTCATTCAATTGTGACGAGGGGACCGAGGGGATCAATCCGAAAAGTGGACACAGCCCGACAGGGAGCAATTGGATAGGTCCAAAGATACTAGTAGGAATCAATCCATGGAGTCTGGTGGTGCTGGAGCAGGAGAAGAGTAGCATCCTCTTTTATAAGAGCTGAGCTGACCCGTGGCGGAGTGAGAGGGGTGACTTTTTTGAGGGAAGCATGATGCTGACCGACAACGTGAGCTGTCCGGTGAGGCCGCATGAGGTTGCAACTGAATGTTCTGCAGCGTGTCAAGGAGGTCTTCCAGAGACCTGCAGACATAATCAAGGGAATGGAAGGAGAAGCGGTCCGCGAATGGGAAGCTCCATCTGTAGGCAATGCCGTGCTGCTGAAGGACCTGAAGATGAGGCTTCATGGCTCTGCGTTTCGCAATCGTTCGTCAGGCAAAAATCTTGAAAAAGCTGATAGGATTGACCCTGAAACATCAAGGAGCATACTGACAGAGCTGCTTGTAGGAGCTGTTCCTTTGTGTGGAAATAGTGAAATTTAGTGATAATATCATGTGGCGGGCCATCTGGGCTACGAGGGGCTAGCACTTTATGAACTCTATGCATCTCAAGGCGTTCTATGGGGATCTCTGGGGCCAATTCTTGAAAAAGGGCCATGACTGTGGATAGAACATTCGTGATGGATTCTGGTAGGCCGCGGATGCGTAAATTCGAGCGGCGGGCTTTATTTTCAAAGTCCTCCAAAAGGGCCTGCAGAGCCACGTTTTCAGGAGGAGTTCAAGATCATCAGAGTGGATTTGGAGTGTAGTTTTGAGTCGTCGACCCGGTGTTCAAGGTCAGAGGTGCACTGCCCCAATTTGAGATTTTCTTAGACAGCTTGTCAGTAATGCGGTCCGAGGTATGTTTCATGGCTTTGTGTAGCATCCGCTCAAATTGCTTGAGAAGGTCAGGAAAAGAAAGGTCAGCAGTAGGGGTGTGTTGGGGGGTCCCCAGGTCAGAGTCAGACTCACCATCAGACATGCAGTGGGATCTGGAATGAGCATCCTGCAGTGCTGCATAGGGCTGTGCCTGTGTGAGGGATGCAGGGGTGGTGGCCATCTTGGAAGAGCCCCAAGCCAGGGCCTCTTTGATCGGCTTCACAGGCGGCTGATGTGGTTGCTTCACTGCTTCCCGGACCATTCTGACAGGGACCAGGGGGGTTGCTATGGCGACCAGTCGAGTTGGGGGACCGTTGCGGGCTGAGAGCAGTGTCTGGGAGGTTCGATTCCCCACTATGTGCCGGATCCTCAGACTGACATGTCCATCCCGTCGGCTCCACGCATGCACACCGTTGCCAGGAATTGCTAATGAAGCTTAAAGATATTCATTTTACCCCCCCGTTCTATTAATATAGAGTCTGGTGGCAATACTATATGTATCTTCTGATGTTACTCCTGAATAGAGCATTTTCTATGCCTGAGAACCTTCTTTCCTAGGCAGTCCATGAGCTAAGGTGGGGATATGTAGGGGTGTGTAAAGCCAGGAAGGTGATTGGCTCTCATTGATTACTACAGAGAGCCTTTAAACCATTCTGATATCCTCCTAAAACATGGCCACCCAGGAGACAATCTAGCTTGGTAGTGCTCAATGTAAGGCTATTTTAATTATACAGGTTAATGTAAATTTTTCTTGTTCATTGTTTTATATTTTACTTGTGGTTAAAGTTTTTTTTTCATTAATAGCAGGTTTGTATTAATTGAGAGGTTTGCTAAGCAATACTTGCAAGATTCAAGAAAGCCACACCCCCATCCTCAAGTATAAGGTCAGGTCTTCAAACCCAAAAGGTGATACCAGCACATAGGAAATGTCATAATCGAGGCTGCTGTATTCATTTTATCCCTTGGGAGAGCATGTGACTCCCTCTCCATCACCCATGTAACAGCACTGGTGTACGCAATAGGATTTGAACTTTCACTTGTCATAAATACTGAAGTCACTAGCAGTATCCATGATACCATAAACTAAGAGGTCTAGCAAGAAATCACAATCTGTCCTCCTAATGAGTTCCTAAAACATGTTTGTATATCCTCCTGCCTCAGTGGAAGGTCTAATAATGTAACGTAAACTATAGCAAACCTTAATATCCTAATAGACTCAATATTGTATGATAGTCTGGGGCTTCTGTTCATTCATAAACTGAAACATAGTAAACACAGTGTACTATGCTTCAGTCTTGAATGGTCACAGGAGTGTTCACTCACTTTGTTCATTCAGTAAAGGAAGGGGCTGGTAAACTAATATTTACTAGCCCCTGCCCCCGCATTCCATTCTGAACATCCCCCTGTGTACCTGCGGCAGCCAGCAGGAGAGGGAAACTGGCAGAGCTGTGAGGGGGGTGCACACAGCAAGGGGAATCAGATGTAGGCAGGATAGGGAGGGGGGGTTGGTGCAGTGGGGGGAGCAATTACAGGAACAATGCCCTTGTGTTTTTCTCTGCAGCAGCTTAATGCTTGCAGGAAGGATAGGAGGATAAACCAACTTTCAGATGCTGCAGAGAGCTGCACAGGGCATCATTCCTGTAATTGTCCCCCCCCCTCCCCACTTCATCCTCCCTGTTCTTCTCACATCTGATTCCCCCTGATGTCCAGGCCCCCCTATGTTCCTGGGCCCCCTAGAGGAGGACTGGCGCTACCTTTTTATCAAATGGCCCTGGTGGCAATGCTCAATCTACATACTGTTTCTTTGGAGGAACAATTTTCACCCTGGGACAGGAAGTTATTGGGATTTAAATAATTTAGAAAAGTTTATTTTTTTTCTTAGGAAAAAGAAGCTGTGCTGGGGAAACATTGGCTAAGATGGAGATGTTCCTCTTCTTTACAACACTACTGCAACACTTCACTTTCCAGGCCCCTCCCGGAGCTGTGCTGGACCTCACCCCTGGCCTAGGGGGTACAAACCCTCCATTGCCTATGAAATCTGTGCAATCTCCCGCATGTAGCATAAATGTGTGCTGAAACACAAAGTAATTTATTAACATTGTACCTCTTTTTAATCTTTCTTTTAATAAAAATAGATCTGCTTATATATAATATAAGTCACCTTATAGTATTGTTAGCAATATCTCACAAAGAAAATGCAGCAAAAGTAAACTGTTGACCATTTGAGGACTTTGAGTAGGTTCAAAAAAACTACTTTGGGCATAAAACAAAAACCCTGATCCCCCATGCCACCATTGGTGGCAAATCACTGCCAGGACTTTCTTTGTGCCACAACAGCAGATGCAGCTGCTGCCATGTAAATTGCAGCTTCCGAACAGTGTTCAGAAACTACATAACATCATTTGTTGTTACTCTGTTTTATTTGTGTGAAGATCAATGCATTCAAGGACTAGACACCAGTATTGCCCATGGTCTCCCTGCAGCTGATATTTCTTCATTACTGACTTACCATGTCTTGTTCTACACTGTGACTGTGTGGAGGCAGCCATCTTGGTAGTTGCAGAGTTTTACCTCCTCATGTTAGAGCCTTCAGGATTGAAAACAATGCAACAATCTCATACTGCAGATATATACAGGAGTGCCCAGGCACCCTCACATACCAGGAGGTGTGCAGCTATTTTTAAAGAGGAATTCTGACAATTCGATACAGGCACTACTTAACCTCTTCCTGTCTGGCGCATGCCGATAAACAGCCGGACAGGAGCGCTGCCGATGCAGGGGGGATGTTTATAAACGTGCATCCATTGCCTGTGCGCGCTCCCTGGGAGCACGCAGCACCATGATCTGTACAGGATTGCTGTACAGGACCAGTGTGTGAGATCCCAATTTATGTGATCACTGATTGGCCAATCAGTGATCACATGAACAGTAGTAAACAAGATGTCACTTGTTGACATCATTGTTTACTGCTTGTGAAATCTGTGAATGATCACAGAGGTCACATGGTACAAGGCTATTCACAAAAGCCTTGTACCATATGACAAGCTGTGACCAATCACAGCTTTCACAGTATTTCTCAATGGCTGCAGAAATGCAGCCAGAGAGAAACAGAAATTATGCTTTTACAGCCTTTATGGGTGTAAAAACAATCAGTGTAAAATAAAAAAAAAAAATCTTCATCACCCCCCACAAATAGTACAGTGTCGTTATGGTGACACTGTACTGCTAGGGTGACAGTATGTAAAAAAAATAAATACATAAATAATATAAAAACAAAAACGAAAATGTAAAAACAATTTTGAAAAATTATGATATTTTTATAAACTAATTTTGGATATTTGTTTTACCAAAAAGATAGTTGAATACATTTTGTCCAAGATTTATAAAAAAGATTATTTGTTTGCTAAATTGTATAAGAAAAACACTTTTCTTCAACATTTTTGGTCTTTTTAATTTATTTAGCAAAAAAAATAAAAATTGTTGAATAAATACTACCAAAATAAAGTTTTATCTGTTCAAAAAATGCTAAAAATTTCATATGGGTACAGTGTTGCATGACCGCGCAATTGTCATTCAAAGTGTGATAGCGCTGAAAGCTGAAAATTGGCCTGGAATGGAAGATGGTGAAAGTGTCCAGACTTGAAGTGGTTAACATAGCAAAATCTGCACTATGTAAGTTCAGGATCACTTTAAAAAGATGCATAGCTAAGGATCTGGTTAAAAAAAGGAAATGCACAGACCTAAACAGCAATGTTTTAGCAATTATAATCAGGTATTAAAATGATGAGTTCCAAAAGTGTGTGGAAACTGGACAGTCTGCCAGTATTAAATTGTTATGTCCTGTATCTTGGATTCAATAAAGTTTTGTATTTTTTAAGAGGTGTTTGTCTTGTGCTTCTTATCCATGTCCACTGATTTTGTGGTATCAGCAGGAGTATACCTCAGTATAAAACACAATTAGTGATATACAGTAACTAACAATATGAATAGATGCAATGAATAACCCAACATAACCCAACATTAATGTGCATATTGGGTTATCAGTTACACTTTAGCTATTCATATCATTGTGAGAAGTGATCTCAGAGCAAGTGTGAAAGAGGACCTAATTGATGGAGAGTGTGATAGGCCTCCCAGTGTTAATGAGGAGGTGGAAACTCAGCTCCTTGCACAGATCGAAAGGGCTGCAAGGGCTGGGACAGTGACAATAATGGGGGATTTTAACTACTCAGAAATTGACTGGAGTAATGGTGCTGCAGGAGCAGTTAAAGGGCAAACATTTTTAAACCTACTACAGCACAATTTTATGGTACAGTTCATAGAAGCCCCTTCTAAGAATGATGCTCTGCTGAACCTGGTAATTTCAAAACATGCAGAGTTTATTATGAATGTCAATATAAAAGAACATCTGGGTAGCAGTGACCATAAAATGATTTCATTTATTGTTAGCTGTGAACAGCAAGCACATACTGGTAAAATAAAAATGCTCCATTTTAGGACAGCTAATTTTCCAAGGCTGAGAGCTGCTCTCCAAAAATTAGACTTGGAGGGAATATTGGCATTGATGAACACAACACAGAAATGGGAGTTCTTCAAGAAGACTGTATGTGAACACACTGCAAAATATATTCCCATGGGCAACAAGTTTAAAACGCTAAAAATGAAACCTATGGGGCTTATGGGCAAAGTTAAAAAAAGCTATAGATAATAAGAAAAGAGCTTTTATTAAATATAAAAATGAAGGAACACTATCATCATTTAAACATTACAAAGAACACCTCCAAACACCGCGCCCCACGACTCGTCCAGTCGCCGAACCACTGTACCCAACGACGCCAAGCCACAACACCCACGGACGCCGGCCTACAGCACCCACAGACTGCAACCAGCCAGCTGCGGCCCCAGCCGCCCACCACTCCCACTCCCCTCCTACGATTGCACACTGATGAACTCCGACATGGCATAACGGACTCTCCCCATCCTCACGTTCTGACTGAAACCTCCCTCCTCCCTGACCCGTCCAGCACTCTGCTCACCCTAGCATGCCACCTGCACTCCTCCTCCTCGTTCTCTTCTCCTCCATTCCCAAACTTGCCTCCCTCTACCCCCCTACTCCCACCACAAAACAGCTCTACATTGCACCCTCACTTCTTCCTTCTCCCCTCTATGGCTTTCACCACCTCCTCCTGATACTCCACTCCCCCACCGACCCACACGCCATCACCAACAGACCCACTCGCTCCTGCACATCCCATTCCCATGCCACCTTCCTCACCCTTCTCCTTCTCCTAACTGCCGGAGACATCTCCCCGAACCCTGGCCCCCCACCTCCCCACTCTCCCTCTAGGCACCCCCTTACTCCCACCAGCCGCTGCAACCCCCCTCAACCTCATATCTGTCCCCCTCCTCCCCGCATCCACCCCTCCTCTCTCGGTTGCACTCGGTTTGCAACAAGCTCACCGCCATCCACGACCTCTTTGTCTCCCACTCCCTCAACCTCCTAGCGGTCACCGAAACCTGGATCCAAGCCACTGACCCCACCTCCCCTGCGGCACTCTCCTATGGAGGCCTCATCTGGACCCACTCACCCAGACCGAGTGGCCGCAGAGGCAGTGGGGTCGGTATGCTCCTGCTACCGCTGAGCACCTTCCAGGTCCTCCCTAACCCCCCCCATCCTTCTCCTCCTTCGAGGCCCACTGCATCCGGCTCTTCTCTCCCACCCCCCTGAGGATTGCGGTAATCTATCGGCCTCCTGGTTCTGCATCCTTCTTCCTAGACGACTTTGCCTCCTGGCTTCCCTTCTTCCTCTCCTCCGATCTACCAACCATCATCCTAGGGGACTCCTCCTACCTATCCCAACGCTTCTTCAGCGTCACCTATACCACTGCCATCTCCCCCTCTCTCCCCCTCTCTGTCGGAGTCCCCCAAGGCTCTGTCCTCGGACCCCTCCTCTTCTCCATCTACACCTCCTCCCTTGGCAAACTAATACACTCCCACGGCTTCAATTACCACCTCTATGCCGACGACACACAAATTTACCTCTCCACCCCCCACCTCACCCCTTCACTCTCCGCCCGCATCGCCCACCTCCTGAACGACATATCAGACTGGATGTCGCTCCATTTCCTCAAATTAAACCTGTCCAAAACCGAGCTCCTGGTCTTCACCCCCCCCCGCGCCCCCCCCATCCTCTCCATCACTACTAACAATGCCACCATCACTCCCACCCTACATGCCAAAGTCCTGGGTGTCACTCTGGACTCCAACCTTTCCTTCCTACCTCACATCCAATTACTATCAAGATCATGCAGCCTCCACCTCCGCAACATCTCCAAGATACGTATATTCCTCACCCCAGACACTACTGAACAACTCGTACACTCCCTCATCATCTCACGCCTGGACTAATGCAACTCCCTCCTCACTGGCCTACCCAAACAAACGCTATCCCCACTCCAGTCGATCCTGAACTCAGTGGCGAGACTCATCCACCTCGCCAACCGCTCCACATCCGCCACCCCCTTCTGCCAATCCCTTCACTGGCTCCCGATTGCCCAGCGCATCAAATTCAAATTGCTAACTCTGACCTACAAAGCCATTCACAATGCCGCCCCAAGCTACCTAACCAACTTGATACCCAAATACTACCCTACCCGTGCCCTTCGCTCCTCACAGGACCTCCTACTCTCTAGCTCCCTGGTCTCCTTCTCCCACGCCCGACTGCAGGATTTCTCCAGGACTTCCCCCATCCTCTGGAACTCCCTACCCCAATTTATCAGACTGTCACCTACCCTCCTCACCTTCAGGCGCACCCTAAAAACCCACCTCTTCAGGGAAGCCTACCCTACCCTCGCCTAACAGCCGACCTCCTCCACTCCTCCTACCACTCCATCCCCCACAGCCATTTCCTCCTGTACCACCTTCCCCTCCCTCCTAGATTGTAAGCTCGAAAGAGCAGGGCCTTCGAACCCCTCGTGTATTGTATTGTTTCTGTCTTGTCTCATGTTCTGTCCCCCTTGCTATTGTACAGCGCTGAGCAAACCCTTTGGTGCTATATAAATACTGTATAATAATAATAATAATTACAAAGAATATAACAGAATATGCAAAAAGGAAATAAAGTCCGCAAAAATTGAAAATGAACGCCAGATTGCAAAAAATAGCAGAACCAACCCCCAAAAATTCTTCAAATATATTAATAGTAAAAAGGTTTGGTCCGAGCATGTAGGCCCTTTACAAAATAATCTAGAGTGGGTGACTGGGGACAAAGAGAAGGCAAATGTATTTAATACCTTCTCCATCTGTGTATACAAAGGAGCATGGGGGAGCTCTTGGGCATGGTATTGACACATAATGGGCATGGTATTGACACAGCTCCAGATGATCCAAATTGGCTCACAATTGATGTGATCCAAAAATATTTAGACAGTATAAAGGTGAATAAAGCACCTGAACCAGATGGCATACACCCACGGGTCCTTAAAGAATTGAACTCTGTCATTTCAAAGCCATTGTTTCTTATTTTTAGGGACTCTTTAATGACTGGCATAGTACCACTGGATTGGCGTAAGGCCAATGTGGTGCCAATATTTAAAAAGTGGTCAACATCTTTACCAAATAATTATAGACCTGTTAGTTTAACTTCTATAGCTGGGAAGATACTGGAGAGTTTAATAAAATACCACATAGAGTTATTGCTGGAAAAAATATTTTAAGCAACAGACAGCATGGATTCATGAAAGACAGAAGTTGTCAAACAAATCTGATTTCTTTTTTATGAGGGGGTGAGCAAAACCTTGTGCAGAGGGGTGGCGGTGGATGTGGAATACTTGGATTTTGCAAAAGCATTTGACACAGTTCTCCACACATGGCTAATGTGTAGGGTAAAGTCCCTGGGCTTGGAAAATCCAATGTAAATTAATAGAAAACTGGCTAAAAGATTGTATTCAGAGAGTACTCTGAATGGTCTAGGGTTCTCAGTGGTGTACCCCAAGGTTCTGTGTTGGGACCCTTACTTTTTAATATATTTACAAATG